GGCCACAGGACAGGAAAACTACCTCATACTATGGAATATAAAACCAGATGCAGTTGGGAATAAAGCACAGGAGGTTATAGGCTTCAAGGCCTTGACAAACACTTCCTTACAGTCTGTCAACAGGAACATTAGTTTATCATACAAATCAAAGTGATTCTGGATGTAGTGGAGCAAAATGAGTAGTAAATGAGGAATATCTTCAAAATATCCCAATGCTGCTGATTCCAGTATTAGTATAACAATGAAACTTCCTACAGTATGTTTCCAGACTCTTCAGAAGTGTGCGTTTTAAGGAAAATCTCCCTTTCCTCACTCCCTCTCCTAGAAGCCTTACTGGGTATAGACAGCCCTGTAGCACCCTGAATCTGCCTGTCTCCTCAAATCCAATGCTCACATGCTGCTTCTTTTATTGTACAAACAGGACATGAAGGATCAGATGTCGAATTCTTCCGTGCAAGCACTGGCTGAAAGAAAAAACAGGCAGGTGAGAACCAGAAACAGGCAGTGTATATCTGCTACAATGTATATCCTGTCTGGAGTTCCTCCCCTTGCAGACCTGTGGTGTGGGAAGGGGCTCACAAGCTGCAGCCAAGCTGTGCTTGAGCCATGTCCATTTGGCTGCCCTGGGAGAGCTGGTTCTCACAGGCACGTTGCTGCCAGCCTCTCCCAAGCCTCTCTCAGAGCAGTAACTCAGCACTCACCATCTGTGTTCAGAGCTGGTTGTTTACAACTGTCAGCATTGCACCATCCCATGGAAAGGGAAATCTCCCTCCTCCTCCTCGGGGGGAACCAGCTCAGAATCCATGTCAATGAATGTAATCCTGCGCTCTGCTGGATTTAGGGGCCAAGATGGTGCAATATCCTTTAATGCAGCTGCTTCTTGTAATAGCCATGTAAGAAGATGGAAGGAGCTCGAGGAGTCTTGTGTTGTCTGCACTTGTAATCTAAGGAATAGAAATAGATGCAGCTTTCCTGGCTCCTTCCTGGCTGATGGGGAGGCTGTAAGGAGATACTGGAGCTGACTTCCAGACCCACTCCAGTAAAAGCTGATGTGTGCTTCATACAGTTAATTGTTTGTACTGCATCAACCTTACTACACGTGGCAAAAACAACAAACTGAGAAGCACAGAACTCATTCCTGAGCTTGTCACAGGGTTAATTAATGTGCTTGGCAAACATTCCCAGCAGCAAAGTCCCTGACACCCTTGCTCAAATAAGTCTGTAGCTTTCCCTGTGATTTGCTGCTTTCCTTTGCATGAGGTTCCTGATAGCTGCAGGAGACCATATGGTCCAGCTCACTCAGCAACATCTGGTCAGGAAAACTGACTTCCCCTTGCTGCCTTCCTTTCCCTTCCCAGCCCCTTGCCTTCATTCCAGACTGCAAGGCTTGTGCTGGGCTTTGTGTCTGAGGGGCTGGCTAGCAGTGACCTGACCCTCACAGCGCAGGCTGGCAAACAGGCCCTTTCTATTGAAGCTGCAGGCAAAGCTAGTGCACTGCATTAAATAAAAGGGAACTGCCCTGGCCACAACTGGAGGGACCAGGAGCTTGCTCAGTGTCTCTGTGGCAGACAAAGCCAGATGTCCTGCTGGCTTGCTGCATGTCAGTCTGTCAGCTTTCCCCACCCCTCCTTGAACCTTAAAAGTCAGATGAACCGTAGAGACCATTTTGTTTTAAGCCTGACAGAGCAGCCTGGTCATTGTCTTGCTGTTCTTCACAAATACTCGGTCATTTCATCCTGCCCACAAGCAGGAGCTGCAGGATGGCCTTGTTACAAGTCAGCCTGGCTTCCACACTGGAGGGCAGAGTCCCTAACCCTTTCCTAGTGCTGCAGGGTGCAATTCCTCACCTGCAGGTCATGTTCATTCTCCAGCATCTGTAGCTTGGGTTATTCCCCTTTCAGGGACAAGACATATTTGGCTGGAAAGCCACACCTCTGCAGGCTTTGCACGAGCTTATCTGTTCAGGTTGTAGGGCAGGTAGCAAGAGTAACTTTGTATGCTGGCAGCTGAAGAGCCTGCTGGGGGGATAGGCAGCCTGGATCATAGAACATAAGCATACAGCACTGCACTGCTTATATATTGCATTATTTTACTGTCAGCTCAACTGGTTAAGTACTTTATCCAGACCCTCTTAAGCCCCTGTCATTAGCAGCAGAGTGCTCAGTTGGAGCTGTACACCTGTTAACACAATATATCCGGACACTTTGCAGCTCACGTGTCCCAGCACACAGTGCTGCCTCTTGAGCAGGCCTCTGCCAGTCCTTTGTGCTGTGCAGGTCTCCTGCACAAGCTGTCAGTCGGCCACACTCCAGCTCTCCTGCTGCTGGAGAGGCATCTCTGCAATTCCAGGCTGCAGAGACTTCCCGGGCAGGCATTTTGGCTCTGTGTTGGTTTAGTTCATGACAGCACTTTGGCTGAGTAGTAGCAGAGCAGGAGGAAAGGGATGCTGTGTACATTTGTACACATTTGTACACGAGTGTTGCCTTGTCTGCCTTCCCACCTCAGCCTGTGAGGCTGTGAGCAGACACAAGCGTGTTGCTAAGAGCTCTGCATCTGTTTAGGCACTCCTGGGAGAGAGTGGGAGTCAGAGTTGGAGCTCTGGACCTGACAAATACAGCCGTCTGGACCGGGAGCTGCAATTAGCAAATTCACATTTCATCGAGGAGCAGCAAGCTCAACAACAGGTAAGGCAGCTGGCATCACAGACTAAATAGCTTTGCTTGCCAGATGGGTGCCAGGGGGACTGGTCTGCCTCCAGGAGCCTGACAGTCCTCTTTGCCTGTGGCATGTGTCTGTGCATGCATTTCCTGTGCAGCACAGTTTTGGGTGATCTCGGTGCAAAGGTTTTAACCCTGAAGGTGTGGGGCTTCTTCTGCGTTCAGGAGGCAGTCGGCACAATCTGGAAGATGTAGCACACTAAGATTTGATAGTGCAAGTATTGCTGAAATCCTTGGAAGAGTAGAAACACTGCAGAAAGAAAAGGGCCCGTTTGTCTTATGCAACTTCCCCTGGTTAAAAAATGTGTGGTGGTGTTTGTGTGCGTCTCCCATCAGAACAGGCTGGGAGCAGGAGCATGCGCCTGCTTCCTTTTCCTGCTTTTGTCACCGTGAGATTAGTGAGAAAGGCCGTGTGAGGGCTTGGGAGAACCCCTGGTGAGGCACTTCCCAGCTGACAGGGGAGTTTGCCTGGAGAAGTGCCCAGGCCAGGCCCAGAGTGGAGAGCTACAAGGCCTTGACACAGGCAGTGACTTAGAGGTGGGAAACTCTGCTAAAGCTCCTGACCCATGATGCCACCTCGGCTTCCAGACACATTTTACCTACTGACTGCAGGGAGATAAACAGCTTCAGAAATAGGTAACTAGGGTAGAGCTAATCCTTAGTGTGACTGTGCCCTGAAAACGACTTAAAACAGCAGCAGACTTATTCCTTTGGCACATTCAGAGCCAGGCTGGCTATTTTTAGCTGTAGAAGCTGCAACAGCCTTCCGCTTGCATTAACCCCATGTTGGCTGCAGCACATTCCAGGTGGCATTTCCCAGGCACAGCATCAGTGTGCCTCCCTGGCCTGCTTACCTTGCCAAGGTTTTGAAGACCAGCCCTTGGAGCTTTCCAAAGTCAGTTTAGCTGTGCGTGCAGCATGGATGAGCTGAGGCTGGATTTGCAGGGACGTCTGGAGGCTGCAGCCTGCTGTGCCATGGGGATGCCATGCCATGGAGGCTTTCCCCTCGTTGTCTCCTCTCCAGCATTTCTTAGGAATGCACTCCTCATTCCTGGTGGCTTAGGTCTGAGCCCAGGCCTCACAGCTGATGTTGGCTGAGCAGCGAGTGCCTGGATGGGTGTAGACTGGATGGGCTGGCTCCAACCCAGCTGCAGGCAGCAGATCTGTAATTGCCCATTTCTCTTCTCTTTGGCCCCAGTTGATTGTGGAGCAGCAGGATGAGCAGTTGGAGCTGGTCTCTGGCAGCATCGGGGTGCTGAAGAACATGTCCCAGCGCATTGGCGGGGAGCTGGAAGAGCAAGCAGTGTAAGTGTGAGACATGGTGGCAAAAACCTGGCATGGGGCTGGCTGCAACATGGCTGGGTGTCCTCACACACCTATCTCTGCCTCTGGTGGAGTCTGGAATTCACTAGTCCCTCAGGCAACCTCTCCCTGCCAGCCTGTGGAAAGCATTTTGTACTGCAATCTGCAAGGATGGAACTGCAACCTCCTTCCTTTAGAAGCCTGCATCTAGGGCAGGCTTAACTGCCACCTTACCTTTCCTCCTCTCCTTCTCACATGCTCCCGCACAGGCAGCCAGCAGATAAGGGAGGGAGGTGCTGTGCAATGCACGTGAATGGCCACTTCTCCACTCTACAGGGCTTTGTGCTGCCCCTGGACAACTGCTGGGGACAGGAGCTCTCAGCTCTGCCCTGAAACACACAGCACAGAGCTGCTCTTCATCACTGAAGTTAAAAATAACCCTCACCCACGCAAAGGGTTAAAGGGCAGCTCACAAAGTCACTTTGCATCCATCCATTTACATATAAATTAGATTTCTTTCCCAGTTCTTGTCCTTTGCAAACAAGTTCCTAGTTGTGCAGGCTAACAGCTATGCTTCCAGAAAGGCTTGAAGGGCTCATGCCTAAAACCACTCCTTGTTTGCTGGTGAGAGTTTGGAGTGCCATGTCCCTTGTGAAGTGATTTCATCTTTGATGGAGAGGAGGAACTTTCAATGTCCCTCCAGTGTGGAGTTGTGCAGCATGAGAATTCTCTGCTCTCACAGAGGAGGTTGACGTGGTGTGTCTGTTTCTGGATCATCACACAAGCCATCAGTGCTTGCTAGATTAGCTCATAACTACCATAATGAGGTTTTCGCCACTGAATGAAGGTTGAACAAGTGCCCTGGCACTCCAAATGAAGGAGTCTGTCCTCTTAAATGCATTAAGCTTTAAAGTCCCACTGGCTGGAGACAATTGCATTGGTACCTTGACTCTGGATACACACTGGCATTGACAAAGCATGGATTCAGGAAGGCTTTCAGATTTATTACAGTCGCTGTGTGGAGGAAGTAAAAAGGTAACTTCCATGCAGAGCTTAAAAAGCACCTTAAAAGCAACTGCTGATCTCATTCCCACTTGATACATGACTGAAACAAGATTTTACTTTAAACTACAAGCCCTGAACAAGAAAAGAGATTTCAAGTCCAAGCTGACACATAGATTTAACTAGTCTCTGCTAATCACAGATTATAAATGAGACTTTCCTTTTGTAAGGAGGAAGCCCCTCCCATTCCTCACCTTGCAGATGGGTGTAGAGTACAGCCACAAACACACGGGGAGGATCAGTCTGGCAGGAATCCTGAGTTACTTCCCACCAAAGCAGAGCTGCTGTTTCAGCAGGTTCTTCCCCTCCCTTGGGTGCTTCCAGGAGAGGAGGCCACATTCATTTTGTCTGCCAAGGTGATACTCTGCTCACATCAGTATTTTGATCCATGTGTGTGAGCGTGCTGCAAAATCCCCAAGGGATTTCCACATGCTGACCAGTGCCCTGCTTCTGTGTCCTCAGGATGCTGGATGACTTCTCCCACGAGTTGGACAGCACTCAGTCGCGCCTTGATAACGTCATGAAGAAGCTCGCCAAAGTGTCTCACATGACGAGTGGTAGGTCCTGGGAAGTGGGAACCAGTCCTGGAAAGAGAGACGAGCCCTTGGATCTTCAGGCTGGGACACTGTGCTCCCACCCACCCAGCCAAGGGGAGGGAGCAGCTCTCAGTTCTTGAAAGAAGGGCAAGGCTTCCAAGCCCGGCAGCTGCTCCTGCTCAGACACTGCTCTGCTGCCGGTCCCTTGCCTTTGTTTTATTTACAGATGCCTTTCTATTTATGCTGCTATTGCTGGGAAAATTCCCCTCTAGCTGGTGGGAGGGGAAGCTCTGCAGCCTCCTGCTCTGCTGCAGTTTCCCGGGCTGCCTGTGGAACAAAAGCTGTCAAGGTGCCATTAAACACCGGCCACCGTGTGTGGCTTCCCCCCGCCTCCCTGCCCCTCCGAACCAGAATGCCTGTGGCAATCTCCTTCCCAAATCCCACCTGCCCTGGGGCTGCTGGCGCCTACAGGCCTGTTGTCCGTCCCATCTCTCTCAGCTGGTAGAGGAAAGAGCTGAATTCTGTGCTGAGCCCACAGAAAAGTCCTTATAAGGCTGTGCCTGAAGCTGGGGGGCTGGCGGGCAGAGCAAACAGGAAGCCCGGCCTGGCTGCCAGGAAGTCCCGCACTGCCGGCTGCCTCTGAGCCTGGCATCGTGCCCGGCCAGTGCCTCCTCCAGCACCCCTCTCCCGTGGGTGCTCAGGACCTTGGGAAGGCAGCAGCCTGTCAGGAGGAAAAGCATTCCTGCTCTGCAGGATTAGGCTGTCCGAGGGATTTATGAGGTGCTGGGAAAACAGCCCTAGAGAGACCACTTGGAATACTGACAGTGCACTCTGGGTTACCGGTAGCTCAGCAGCACAACCACGGGTGAACGCTGTGTCTCTGCCCTTTCCTCTGGGAAAACACATGGATCTTTGCAGAGTGTTTCTGAGTGTTGTGAAAGAGCATTTCTGCTGGAATCACCTATGCCAGGGAGAGTGGGAAGGCTCTTTCTGGGGTAGTTGCTGTGCCTAGGAGCTGAGGGACTGCCAGCAGCCCTGTCCCCACTGCTGCACCATCATCTCAGGGGACACACAGCGGCTCTCAGAGGTGATGTGGTGTTGAGCCAATGAGGTGGAAAGATGTCCAGGGGAAACCTGATTCCTGGCCCTGTCATAAGGGAAGCCGCCACAATCTCTTCCTGGCAGAGCTCCTCAGGGCAGCTTTCACCAGATCCCTTTTGTTCCTCTGGCAAACAGATTACTCCATGAATGAACAGCAAACACAGCAGCTCTCTGCTTGTTTCTCCCAATTGCTTTTGAGCCAGCTTTTCAAAGCTATTTGAACTTGGTTGAGAAGAAACCTCAGAATTCCCACAGCTGTTCCCAAACCCCAGTGTATCCTGGAGGAGAGTGCCTCACTGCAATATATAGCACCACAGCCTTTCTCCCACAGGAACTGGTTTTTTTGGTTTTTTTGTGGCTTAAGCTTGAATTTGGTTCCTCACAGTTAACATGAAGAAGAATGCTCCCCCAGTTTTCCTTCTCCACTAAAGCAGGAAGACTGATGCTTCCTTTTCTTTCCAGATCGACGGCAGTGGTGTGCAATTGTTGTCCTCTTCGTCATCTTGCTAGTGGTGCTCATCCTGTTTTTTGTCCTGTGATGACAAAAACTGAACTTCCTGGGACGCCCCCTCCCCGCCCCCTCGCCCCGGCAACGCGGGGAAATGAAACTCTCCCCGTTTCCGTCCGCCCACAGAGATCCCCGGCAGGAACACCTGCAGCCAGCTCTCACCATCCTCCTCCAAGGACTGCGGCTTGGCTGCGCCCACATCTCCCCTGGCCCCGGGGAGAGGGGGTGGAGGACTGGAGCTGCCTCCTCCCCTGCTGCGGTGCAATCTGGACCTGGGCTCCGGGTCTGGATCCGTGGAGCTGGAGGGGGACCTGACCCCCACGCTTCTACCCCGTGCAGGTAGGAGCCGGAGGGAGATGGACACAGAGCAGCGAGCCCTGGGGAGGACGGGACAGGGGGAGGAATTACTGAATTCACTGAGCATTACAAACTGCGTTGCCAGTGCCAGCCTCAAGCATTACTAGGAAGGGTGAAACCCCCCCAAGCCACGGCAAGGGAGGGGAGCCCTGGCCCTGCTCCCCCTGCCCCTCCCTTTCTCCTGTGGGCGGGCTCTGTAGCACCAATTCACTGCCAAGAGAGCACGGTGAGTCCTACCAGACCTATCCTACCCTCTACACTGGGCAGAGCTGTCGGGTCTCATGTCCTACCATTGGCCACCCAGGCCCCATCAGACACTCCAGAGCTTTAAACGTGGGGTGCTGCACACTGAGCACTGGCAATCAGCCCTGAGCCAGAGAGGGAGAGTCTTGAAGCTTTGAAACTTGCCTCTCTGATTAGACAGGCCTCTAAAGCTCATTGACTGATGCTTTCTTTGCTCTTGTATAACTGAGTCACTGCTTCTGTTTAACAGCTGCTTCCCTTTGGCAAGTGATTTGTCAGGTCTAAAATAACTTATTTTTTTTAAGGAAAAAAAACTTTAAAAGATTTTTTGATGACCATTGGAGCCACGTTCTCTCTGCGGGTGCTCGACACACATGATCAGAGGAACAGTGCTCAGTGATGTATTTTAAGTGTATATGAACTTGTAAATAGGATATCTTAATTTTTCCCAACCGCTATTTTTTGGACACCTCCATTGTAAGCAACCAAAAGGCAGGAGATTCAAAGCTAGATCACGTTTCCATATTCAATCCCAGTCCTTTTGTTAACTCTCAGTTGTTTGTCACTCGAGTTATCTCAGCAGTGTTGGATTCCCTAAAGGGAATGTGGAGTAGCCAGGTGGGCAATACCAAAAACGTGAAAAAAGCTCACCTGGGTAGTTTCACTGAAGAGGAACAGGCAGAGGGGCTGTGCTGCAAGCACCAGCTGTGGGATATGGGGTGACTCTTGAGGAAGGCAAAAACGGTTTCTTACTCCAGTCTGCTCCCATATTTTAAGTTGCAAACATGAAAAGACTCTGCACAGGCTGGCTTATGGCTCCCAGATGGGGCTGGGGGAGGAAGTTAATTGGCACTGACGCAAAGACTTCTGCTGAAATTGCAAATCACCTCCAAAATCATCCCCCCGCCTTAGAATCTTGCCACCGGATGGCTTTACCTCCGGGACTGAACACTCCTCCCCTCCCCGGCTTCGTGGCTCCCTCCGAGGTCTGCGTGGCCCCCTTGTCCCTCCCGCAGGCGCTGGATGCACAGCCGCGGCTCGGTGCCTTCCGCAGCCGGGCGGGGCCGGACGGAGCCTCCCCGCCCGCCCGGGTGCTCCTCAGTAACGCACACGTGGTGCCTCGGCGCCCACCCGCACTCATGATTCGAGTGGCTCCTTATCCTTGCAGTGCATCCCTGCAGGGAATAGGTGGGTGGTTTCTGCTTTCCAAGGCCGGCTGTAGCAGTGTCTGCACCACTCCATGGGTCTGTACCTCTCCAAGAGCAGATTCCCAGGCGCGCGGGTCTAGGCAGGGAGCAGGGCTCGCTGCCGGCTGCTGTTCGCATACCTCTGACCCCCGCGTCACTTCCAGCGTGGTTGTGCATCCTTCGGGAATGACTCCCATGCAGGACCACTCCTTTGGTAGTCCAGGGGGTGGCCCAGCTGCTGACATCACCACAAGCCACCGAGTGTCTCTGGTCCCTTTCCCCATGTACATTTGCTTTTCTGTCGCTGGTGGTGCCCCTCCCTTTAACACTAAATAAAGGTGCAGCAGCGTAGATCTCCGTTCCTTCTTGCCTGACTCTTGCTCCCAGGACAAGCTGGGGGTCTCCTGGCACCAGGGAATGGGAAAAGCTCTCCCACCAGCATTTGCCAGGCATCACCATCCTGGTTTTTGAGGTATAAGCAGCATCTGCACTTTCTGGGGTCACCTCAGCATTGTGGGCAGCTGGGCCCAGATGTGGGGTTGCTGCAGACAGCTGTAGACCCAGATGTAGGGCACCACCATGCAGAAGGCAGCTATTGCTGCTGTGCCACTGCTGCTGAAGACACTCCAAGGATGTGTTTCGCCTTCCATGGCTGGAAGAAAGAACCCCTCAAAATCCCCAAGGGGCACTGCAGGTGGTTGAGCCCCCCCATCTACCTGCCCAGGACCCCTCCAGCACCACAGCACGGTCAGGAGGTGGCTGGTAGAGCAGCAGGGCCATGGGAAAACAAGTAGCAAAGGCTGCAAGCACCACCCCAGCCCCTCCATGCCACAAGCCAAGGGCACTGTTTTGTTATTGCAGAGATGTATTTTTGGGTTTCAGTTTGAAATAATTTAGAAGAACCTCACCAGCCCTCCAGCACCAGGTGGCAGTGCTGGCAGGAAGCCCTCTGTCTCCTGGGGTCATGTCCCCATGCTGATCACTCCAGTGCCCAGCAGGACAGACCCATCCAGCTCTGTTGGGACCAGGCTGTCCCCTGTCCCCCACACATGGGCAGCTCTGGGGAGCTCTGGGAGTGGAGACTCTGGGGGATCCTGGTCTCACATTCTCTCCCAGGGGGACAAGGAAAGTCACCTGCCCCCACTGCAGTGGAGCTGGGCAGGTGCTGACACTGCGAGGCAGCTTGGTCCATGCCATGCCATTCTGCAGCATCCTGGGACGTCCCTGGGAGCCTGTCCTCCCATCACTGGGTCATCCACCTCCTCCTGCCCGGAAGCGTGCCAGGGCTACCGTGGCGCCGGGCGGTGCCGGAGCACGCGCAGGGACAGGGTGTCCGCCTGGAGCAGCAGCTCGCGGATGCGGGCCAGCCCCAGCCCCGAGACGGCCGCGCCGTTGACCTGCAGGATCTCGTCCCCCACGCCCAGGAGCCCCGCGTAGAGCTTGGCTGTGCCGGCATCCGCCATCTCCTGCACGTAGACACCTGTGCAGAGAACAGGAGTGGGTTGAGAGCCCAGGGGCTGCACAGAAACAAACCTGTGATAAACAGCCTTTGGTGTGGGCTGTGTGTCCCAAGCCAAGTACTGATGGACACGTAGGACTGTGCGTGGCCAAAGCCACACATGGCAGTGTCCCCCCACCCACATCACCCCTCAAGGGGTCAGCAGCAATGGAGCAACCCCCTCCACCCGTGCCCAAGCTCATCCCTGGGGTGGGACAAGAGCCACCATGGAGGGACCATGGTGTGCCAAAGCTTTGGGATGATCCCACAATACCTGTGTCAGGCCGGCCGTGTCCAGAGGTGATGGAGAACCCGAAGGCGCCATGGGGGGGTCGCTGCAGCTCCAGCTGGCTGGTGCCGTCAGGGAAGACCTCGACCACACGCCCCACTGCGCGCAGCTGGCCGGGTGCCCCGATGTCCTCCACGCTCAGCGAGCGCTGCGGCCCTGAGCCCCCCTTCCTGTGGGGAAAGGGAAGATGGATGAGTGGGGACAAGGGAAGCTGCTGGAGACAGCAGCCCAGAAATAGCCTTCCTGGGCACCTTCCTGGATGTGCAGGCCCCATCCTACCTGTCACCTGTGGTCTGTGGCAGGAGGTAGGCGCTGGCACGGGGTGCCTTGCCCAGCTGAGGATGCAGGCTCTGGATAGAGGCAGCTTTTTGGGGCTGGCAGAAGGGTGACACCTGAGGAGAAACACCTGGCTGAGATGGGAACAAACACTGTGCACCACCGCAGTGCTTCACCACTGATGTGCCGAAGGAGTGGAGGAAACTG